GTTAACATCAGTGAAGTCGTAAAGTAAACGCGTTGGAGATTATATCTAAGTAGAGTAAATTGTGAAAGTTGATACTAGTGATTGTAAATAGTAAAGTGTATTGTAATTGAATTGTGAATTACGGAGTAAATAAAGGACATTAGATTAATTCTTTATAACGAAAGAAACTGCAAATTAAGTTGGCGAGTTTTATTTAACAATCCAGAGATCGTACCCGAAGGATTTAGGAAATATTCGAGGTTGATTTAGTAAAATCGTAACAATATCAAGGGTCAAAGAACATATATGAATCAAAAACGACAATACTCCTACAATCTTGAACATAGATAAATGGGCAAATATAGGTTAAATTCGCCTTGATTATTCATATATATTCACTAGTTATGTTGTTCATTCACATGTATGTATAGAGAGATATATGTAACAGTATGTAACCATAAGAAACTGAACGTATAGACGCATTGTAACAAGCGTTTTATTTCTCTTACACTACTTAGCAAACGCGTTCGCTGAATGCCAATAAATCATCTTTCTGTTCCTTCCATGACATTTATTACTGTCAGGTGCTGTGATCGAAGGTTTTCTTCGCATTGGTTGGTGTGTACTGCTGAATTTTCCCCAAAAAGAAAAACCTTGTTAAATTTTTGCGTGAGCAGCTTGCAATAAAAAGTATGTAATTACAATTTTTTCTTATTAATACGCACAAAAGTCATTATTCGCCTGAATCAATATCCTGAAATTAATGGCGATATATTCAAAAGTAAATATAAATGCGACGGATGTGATTGTAAGCTAGTGTGAGTGGTGAAAATCGACGAGCAAGGTGTGAAAATCCAATCAGTGCTGGCTGCGTCTCTAAACCACCCACAAACAACCCAAAAAAAAAAAAATATATATATACATACATATAATATAAATCGAATGAGTCGCTGACGACGGCGTTAAGCTACTCTTTAGCAATATCTTGCCAACAAACAGAAATGTGTGGGGTATGCCTTAAATAAAGCAAACTCTGGTACACCGCAGGCATTTGTTATTTGTATAAAAAATTTGACCAGTAACAGAAAAAAACTGTCCGTCGGAAACAAACCATATCCGTATATGCGACGCAATTACAAGAGCTTTTACCAAAATAATAGTGAATAAAAAAGTAAGGTAATACGGGAAATACAACTACACAAGTTGCGTCGCCAGCTACGTACAAACCGACCACAACAAACAGTTTGCTGTAATTTTTTTTTAATTGTTTAGCAGCACATCGCATATAGCAGGTGCGGTGGATTTCAGGTGGTTGTTGTATTCTTCAAAAGTTGACGTGAGCGCGTCATGTCCGACATCATGAACATCGATAGCATTATTTCACGGTTATTAGAAGGTTCGTATAACCATATTTATAAAAGAACTTATATACAAAATTTTAATTTGCTACTTAATTTAGTACGGGGTGCACGTCCTGGTAAAAATGTGCAATTATCAGAGAGTGAAATACGCGGTTTATGTCTCAAGTCTCGGGAAATATTTCTATCGCAGCCCATACTCTTAGAACTGGAAGCACCTTTGAAAATATGCGGTAAGTATTTTTTTTGATATTTGTGTGCAATCATGGATATAAAGTAAATAAATATTAACAAACTATCTGACCATTTGTCTAATCGATTTTGTACATATGTACATACCTACAAGATTGCAAATGTATGATGTACATATGTATGTCTGCATATAGACATATATATGCATGTATGTTTGTATATTATCTATATGCAATCGAAAAATCATGCAATTATATGCATATACATACATATGCACATTCATGTAACATCAATGTAACATTATAAGTTTTTAAAACGTTTTAATTTTTTATTTTATTACGTTTTGTTAATTTCTAGGTAACAGTAGCAGCTAGGGCTTATTAATAAGATCCAAGGAAATTTTATCAATTGACTTTATAGAGAAGAAAATGCACTTTTTTGGCTGAGGCTATATTTATTCACTTTTTAATTTTATGCAATGTAAGCGATAGAATCTGAAAAAAAAAATAATAACATATCAATGTGCTTTGCTCTCGTCTGGTCAAGAATTTCGTCCAATGTCTTACCTTATGCTAATGCTTTTAAATTTATTGTGTGCCCCTTGAAATGTCTAAAATTCTTTAAAAGTACGATGTAATGTATATGTATGTGTATTTTATTTTATACTGTCGAAGTAACTAACATATATGTTATTTTCTTTTGTACACCTCTGCTATTAGGCGACATTCATGGTCAATATTATGATCTACTCCGTCTCTTCGAATATGGTGGATTTCCGCCAGAATCGAATTATCTATTTTTGGGAGATTATGTTGATCGTGGCAAACAGTCATTGGAGACTATTTGTTTACTGCTGGCTTATAAAATAAAATATTCCGAAAACTTTTTCTTGCTGAGAGGTAATCACGAATGCGCTAGTATAAACAGAATTTATGGGTAAGTGAGAAGTGTTTTTGATTAATATAGTCGAAGTGGCTTTACTTACCATCTGTTATATTTTCTTTGCAGTTTTTACGATGAATGCAAGCGTCGTTATACAATAAAGTTGTGGAAAACGTTTACAGATTGTTTTAATTGTTTACCTGTGGCGGCTATTGGTAAGTAGTATTGTCGTAATTAAAACATAGTCTGATCACTCTTGAATCTTGTACAACACTTAGCGTAAATTAATATATTTTGCAATTTGGTTTATTAAATGTTTACATGTGAATTTCTCTTCACAGTCGATGAAAAAATTTTCTGTTGTCACGGTGGACTCAGTCCCGATTTATCCTCCATGGAGCAAATTAGACGCATTATGCGCCCTACAGATGTGCCCGATCAGGGTTTACTCTGCGATCTCTTATGGTCAGATCCAGATAAGGACACAATGGGCTGGGGTGAAAATGATCGTGGTGTAAGCTTCACATTTGGCGCTGAGGTGAGTTATTTAGATACATATGTATTTGCGCTTGTTTTGCTAAATAAATTATTATTTTTTTCATGAATTTCAGGTCGTTGGGAAATTTTTACAAAAACACGATTTTGATTTAATTTGTCGAGCACATCAAGTGGTCGAGGATGGTTATGAGTTCTTTGCAAAACGACAGTTGGTCACACTATTCTCGGCACCAAATTATTGTGGCGAGTTTGATAACGCTGGTAAGTGTGGCTATAATAATAAATTAAATGTTTATTTTTTTACATACAAATATATTTGCTTTTATTTTCGCAGGTGCAATGATGTCTGTGGATGATACACTAATGTGTTCTTTCCAAATATTGAAACCGGCTGATAAACGTCGGTTCGTCTATCCAAATTTCGGCAGCTCAGCGCGTCCGCTAACTCCACCACGTGGAGCAAACAATAAAAATAAAAAGAAATAAACACAAAGAACAATGCAAATTTAGCATAATTATAATCAAATATTAAATATTCATAAACAAAAATGGAGAAAAGTTACGAAATTGTTAAAAATTGCGATAAAAACCAAAATGTAAAAAATGCATCGTAAAACGCAAACTAAAAGACATTGCTATTGGAGACGTTAATCAACAGTTTGGAAAATATGCAATTGCAACGGAAAAACGTACTGTGCATTACACACCTATACACACACACACCAACAATCAAGAGCAGGTTGAATTATTCACTTCGCTATTTTTAAATAATTTTAATAATTAGTATTTAGAAGTAATTGTTACTATTGCTTACGCATGTTTTAGCATTTTCAATTTATTAGTTTATATTTTTAAAGCAAAAAATGTTTTATTAAGTAGAAGTTGAAAGATTGATAAGAAGAAAGATTTATTTTGACAACAGAGCTACCATTCATATATTGTATGAAGAAATCATGGTTTTGAATTTATTACGAGTGTATTTTTGAATATTTGCATCTTACACATGCATATGTACATGCGTATTAGATCTTAAGCGCAAACGTTAATAATCAAATATATTAGTGGGAAATTCTGAAATTCTGCAGCCAATTGAATCTAGATTGGTATTGTTTATTATTCAGGCTTTCTATAAAGAATTCTACTTAAGCAATGTTTTAAATAAAAAAAATTCAATCTCGAAGTTATACTTTTCCTAAGCTACATATGTATGTCTGCTCTTTATACGAGTTTAAAATAATTAATTCAAGCTTGCTTTATTCAAGCGTGTGAATTGCCTTTTAAATTCTCCTAAGTATCCCCTAAAGTCATACATTTATCCGAGCATATGTTTAAAAATGTACAAATCTCTCGCTTCTACCAAAAATTTTCTTTTACTAAAACGTAAAGTTTATTTTATTATTCACAATAAGTTGCATGTCACATTTTTTCTGTTTTATTATCTATACAAATACAATGCATATACAAAAAAAAAAGTTAAAAAAAAAAACAAAAAAATAACTGCATGGTTTTCTGAATATTGGTATAAGCTTAAAACGATGCAAAACAAAACAAAAAAAAAACCATAAACAATACATTTTAATAACAAACTATTTTTGTTGTACAATGCAAGAAAAAAAAAATACAAAATGTAAAGTTCAACAAATCGAAAGTAAACAAAAAATAAAAAAACCTCAATGCTAAAAACAAATCTAAATAAAACGCACCACATTTGATAAAAATTTGTAAAGAAAACACAACAAATAGTTATAAGAAAAATATGTTAAAAAAGTGTTATACTAATGCATTGCAAAAACACGAAGAGAAAACAACAAATAAGATTTCGATTTGTACAACCAACTCAATAAATACTAGCAACAAATAATAATAAAAAAAAAATCACTATTTACATTGTTGCCAGCTGGTATATTTAAATCCATATGCGTGCAAAGCAACTATATAAATATGTAATAAGTGAAGTATGAGTAATGCAAAAAATTGTCATTTTAATGTGCGCGTGCGGCAATAACTTTCTGAAAACATTTATTATTGGCTAAATTGTTACACTAGAGACCTCTCCCAGGCAGAGGTGGACATTTACAGTTAATAAAGTAAGCGAATTATAAAACAAAGACGTTTTTCTTTTTAAACACTTATTCCAGTCAGATGTTTGCGTAAATCGCTTATGCGTTATTGCGCCAATTAGCCACACACATTTTAAAGGGTTGAAAGAAACAAAACTGCTAAACAATAACTATACATTATGGCAAATCATAGATAATTTCATAATATTTGGCTTCTACAAGTACGGTTTCTAGCGATTTCAAGAGCAATATCTAAGCGAATTATATATATGTATATTTGCTGTCAAAAAAGCAACTGTGACTTGAAATAGATTGCAAAAATAATCACAAAATATTTGAAATAAATAATCATCTAGATGAGAACTAAAAACAAAAATAAATGAAGCATACATACATATATATGGTTCTGCTATAAGCAAAAAGTAAAATATTTACATTTTTATATAAATCATTGGCGTGCTGGAAACGCTTCCCCGAATTGTGTTGTGCGTACGATCGAGCTACTTTTGAAAGACGCTTTCGAAAGGCTAAAGAATTTTCAATAGAAGCTATTGTCTTAAGAGGTTTTGGACGTTTCTGCTGAAAGACGGTTTTTAAAAAAAAAAACGTTTCCTTAATTTTTAAATGTTTCTCAAATTATTGTGAATCGATGCCGGTAACTTCCGGCAACCATCACTACTCGAAATCTACATTAGGCAATGTTACAGTGCTTAACATTTTATATTTTAATATAAAACACACAATATCCAATATATAAGTGTTAAACTAACGGTAAGAAATGTTGTTGATTTCAGTTAAATCTAGATGACAATTTAAGTTCAATCCATAATGGCAGGAAATTAATTTGAAAGTTTGCTCAAAAGTTATAAAAAATATATTACATACATATTTTATAGATAGTTGAAATAAAGTTTTTGACAATTTTTCTGAAAACTATTAGGCTTTTTGCCATATAAAAAAAATTACAAAAAGCTTAGCCAACAACTAAGCTTTAATGCAGTTTTTCCCTGACAAATCGCATACAAATAAAATAATTTTAAATTGAATGGCATTTGAAAAAATATTTGGAAGAAATTTAACCATTTTGGTTTTTATTTATATAAATTTTAAAGCCTACGATTTAGAAGCATTAAGTATTTCAGTTCGGAAAAAAATTTAAAAATGAAAAATTTATAAAGTTTGGGTAGAATTGCAATATTTTCAAGATATTTATATAGAAATGATTGGTATTGGTAAAAAACTCAAATATTCGGGAATCATTTGAACAATTGGAAAAGTTCACTCACCTAAAGCTAGTTGAAAGTTGGAAGCTCAAATCAATCAACTTTCACTAGTACGCTGAGCATTCACCCTGTTTTTTTTTTATCTGAAACAGAATTAAATTTGGATGTGGAAGTTAAATTAAAATCAAATTAAAAAAAAAAAAAAAATCTGGGTAGCAAAAAAAAAAATAAGCTAACAAAATATACATATATACATATTATTCATTTCAAAACTCGGTATGTCATTAATTGCTATTCTTGCGATGCTAATTGGTTTAATATCTACAAAAAAAAAAAAAAAATATAAATATACAACGGAAACAGTGCTTGAGTTTCTACAAAACTTTTCAAGAAAATGTAATAATTTAGCAACAAATATAAATGAGGACTAAACTACTAAAAAAATGAGGACGTAATACATACATATACAAAAATAAAAACATTAATATACAATCATTATAATAATAAATTACAAACGAAGATCAACATTTATATGTTTCAGTGAAGAACCAATAAAATCATATTCGTTTTGTCATATATATATGTCCATATATATGTATGCATGTCTGGAAACATAGGCATGTGTGTGAAATATATATACATAATTAAATACAACAAACAATGAAATTGTATTCACTTGTAATTTGATAAAAAAAAACAGTGTTGCGTTTACAAAGGGAGAAATTTTGAATTTTTAAATAAATTGTGGAATTGCCCCGAAAAATATGTTAAAGAAATTACAAAAAAAAAATGTAAAGAAGTAAAAAATATACACCATAAAAATTGTATGAATAATAATAATAAGCTAATAAATATATATTATTGAAAAAGAAGAAAGAAAGACAAAATAAAATTGTAAAATTAATAAGCTACACTTGTAACAACTGCACAGTTTAATTTGAAAACAATTAATAAAAAATGAACATTCATTGAATTTGTATTATTTCAAATTTGAAAAAAATATATACATATATATATATACATATATAGATATATTGGAGCGTTTAATCAATCCTTTTGTGGATTGTAAAATACGTTAAAATCTTGAATTTTGAAACCATTGAGCGTGTCCTTTCTGTCATTTGTGACTCAGCTAGATTTCAACCTCACTGCAACAAATTTTGTTTATTGTGCCGAGTTTGTAGTTTAAGTCTTTCGTTTCAGAAGAAGAAAAAAACATCTATATACATATGTGTGCAAGCTGTCTTCGCGCCATCTATCGATGGATAGAGGCGACCACTTAAAAACGAAATGGCAACTATGACATGTAAATGAGTTGTCAACAAAATGTAAACAAAGTTAAGGTCAAGCATAACAATAACAACCACCTTTAGGGCAACAGTAACGACATGACAACGGATATTGAAACCGGTTTATTAGAAATTTTCGCTTTATACAGAGTTTAAATTCATTGAATTGTGTTTTCCCGTTCAAATAAAATATTTTAAAATTTAATTAAAAATTATCAGTAGTGTAGTACCAATGCAACATCAGACGAAATGTTACTGCAACAGTGTTGCGTCGACATGTAATGTAAATTGTTTCAGGCGCAAAGCGAAAGGCAGCGGAAATGTTTTCAGTGTTGCTACAAGCAAAGACGATAAGCAGTTTATCAAGAGAAGTGTAACGGAGAGAAATAAAACGAAAACGGATTTTGTTAAAGTAAATCGTAGAGCAAATGTCACACATGATGATAGTAAAAATCGTCGCGGACTCGGGCATTCCCGTTTGCATAGCTTCGCTAACTTTAGTAGGCGTAACTCCAACGCGACAACAGTGACATTTTCAACACCTTGCGTGACACCAGCCTCAAGCCAGAGTTCAGTAGCAACCACACCTACACTCACAACACCATCGCCTAGACCCAATACCATTTTAAAAGGCATACCAGTAACTATGTCAACACTAAGTGATAATTTCCAAGCGCTTAGTGTCGCTTCTAAAAGTGAGAGTGGCAGTGATTTTGGAGGAGCGCTACAACACGAATACACTGAGCAGCGGCGTTACTATGAAAGTGCCAAACAACTAATGAAGTTGATATCCGCTCACAATGATAACTTCCCTTCGTTAAATATTGACAGCGGAAGTAGTGGTGATGGCTTTCGCATTGGCGGTGCTTCAACCGTGGATGCTGAACGCTTATGTAAGTTACAAGAATTTCGCATACAAAATGCTGATGACTGCTTCAGCATTTATCGGCAGCTAGATTTGCATTTGCCGGTGCGTGAAAAATTATTAAAACAGTACGCAAACCAGCAAGAAGTGCAAAAATCACGTGAGCCTCTAGCTGCATACGCTAGAGAAGAGGCCATTTGTGATAAACGTGTAAAAGATGCGTCGGATAAGAATAGCCCGAAGAAGCAGTTAAATGCTACTCTAACGCCATATGCAGTGCGCCAAAGGTTGTTGCGATTACGTTTGGAGGCAGAGGAAATGAAACGTTTGAAACCTGGCCGTAAGCGCTATGGCGCCCTGGAAAGTAGTTGTGCACTGCGTTATCAAGAAACCTACTAAAGCAATAGTAACAGTAAACGGACTCAGTGTAAAAATGCATTGTGTTTGGCAAAAACATATTTTTTTATACATTTTTATAAATTAAAAAAAAAAAAAAAACTTTTATGTATACATTTAAATAAGAAGAAAAGATTTACATTTTTACTAAAAAAAATAAATAAATTTGATCTAAGATGATAAATAAAATTGGTAGCATTTTTCTGATTAAAATGTGAGGTTATGTTAGACAAAATGAAATAAATAATTTCTCACTCAATCTTTTCCTATCATTTTGTTTGGTATTGCGAATGTGATTTGGTAAATATGATGATAATTCGTAACGGTTTGTTACATTTATTTGCTTCCTGCGATCCTTTCTTAAGAGAGAATTTATTTAAAAAATTCTTAGAAATTTCGTTCCTGGAATTTCATGCTGTACTTCCAAGCCTTAAATAAACACCTTAAGCCGCTTTTTGTTAATTGCCAAACTGGTTCGCTTTCTCTGGTAAATGTTTTGTGCTGAATAAAAATCATTTCTAGAACTAATGGATTTAAGCCGTCGCGGCTGTGAGCGGCATGCTCAAACTTGTCACCTACAACCTGCGAAGTTCCCGTCTATAATTTTCACTAGCTGGATGAAGGAGTACCGGCGCGAACTCGTTGGGAAAAATCGATTGCGTACAATAAAGTTACCGGGAGGCACATTCGCCAGCCTGCACTCTTTCTCTCCGCAAATGACTGCAAATTGCATTAAAATACAGAGCCACAAAAAAGTCCTCAATTCTTTAGCTGACAGCAACTGGGGAAAAAGCCGAGGACTAAAGACGCAGATGAGGAAGTAGCAAGCATGTCGGGAACACCACAACAGAGATTTATTCGAAGCTGAACCTCCACCCAGACCCATCAGGAAATGAGTACTAGAGCGACTCCTTACAGCACCATAGCCAAGGGCCGCGGAAAGGACGGCGTACCGACCAGCTTGGAACTTCCTCATCTGTATCTTTAGTTTCTTGGTCTTTCCTCCGGTGCCATTCGCCGAGATTCCGTGTATACTTTCTTGAACTCCCTTAAAGTGAACAGCGTTCGCGGAATCCAAGCAGAGACCTGGGTAATGCTGGCACAAATAAGATCTGCTCTGACATATCCAACGTATGTCTTGCATGCAATGGGGCTCCGCACGACACTAGCCACCTCTATGCATGCCCTCCAAAACCTACTCATCTAACCCTACTTCCTCTTCGTCCGGACCCGGAACAATAACAGCGGTATCCTTAAATCTAAACTGATGTACGATCATAAGGCCAAATCGAAAAACATTTACATTTCATTGCTACAAAATTTATTATTCTTTTTATAAAGTGGAAAATAAGTTGTAATACCCTTCTTTACACCTGAGAGGAGCACTGGTGTTGCCACCTTCAGCTCGCTGGTTTACTTTCCATCAGAATTGAAAAACCATACCAAGGTCAAATCCCAAGGAAATGAGTAATGAAACAGGCCTAAGTGTTCTACAAAAGAAAGAAAGATATGTTTGTATGTACGAGTATGTAATAGTGGCGCCAACAATGTTAAACAACAATCTCCAGTTGAAAAGGTTAATGAACGGTAATTAAACAAAGCATACTTGAAATATAGAAGGGCATGCGAAGATGGCATTAAATTTGTTGACAGATTACTTCATTACGTGCTCGCTACATACATATGTATGTACATTTCGACTGGGAGTTTAACTGGTTGTTCATGCAGTTGGGCAAGTAATGTGATAAATTGGAACACAACTTTTAAGCACTTACACATACATAACATATATTTATGTTACTACATACACACATGCACATTTATCCTCATGTCTATATGTATTAATATGTACAAATATAAAAACTTACACGTATTGATTTGTCGCGCAGAGGGTCAACAAAGAAAGGCGATTAATTGTAAAATTAAATGAAAATATGTACATATGAATGTGAGTATAAATCTAATTGAAAATACTATTAATATTCCTTTGCGAGTTCTGGATTGGTAGGTTGTTTTCAATGAATAAGGATTGAACAATTACTACTTGAGGTAATAAGCAGCCCATAACAGCCGAGAGGTTAACACGTCACGATTTTTACATGCCTTCCTTCCAGGTGCTCGTAGAAATCATCTTAGGACACATTTGGCTTCTTTTCCATCGGGCCTCACCCCGAAGAGCTTCACTTTGATGGAGACAGTGGCGAGACGTTCATCCACTGGTGTGAAGGCGAGGACTGGACGATGAAGTTTCTCTACCATCACAAATACAAAAACACATTAACAATTAGCGCTCCTTTATATGAGCACATCAGTAGATTGACCCACATTCTTCCGTCCTGATTCTGGCGGGGATGTTAGCCCCACTGCGGCGATGGTACTTTCTTAATGAAGGATTGTGATATTCCAGCTCCTCAGTATGTGATACATACCACGTTTGTATGGCTCGTTGTTAAAATCGGGGTCTCTTACCCTAGGCTACTTGAACCGTACGTAAAAAATTGTCTCTGGCTGAAAAGTTTTTCGATTTTTGCCGGCTGAAGGTGCCACAGTGTGGTGGTCGACATTTTTATAACGTGTTGATTTAAAATTTTTTTGAAGCAGTGAACCAGCGGCCGAAAATCGCTTTAATTAGAGGGCGCCAATTTTATAAATATGTATTAACGAGGCTGCAGATCACAGCGGACACTACTATGGCCGATCTCTAAAAGGGCTGACCAGAGAGTGCTCCTCAGCAAGATACACTTTTACTGATAAAGATCGCCTTATTACTTCCTTAGCGACATACAAACCTTCTGGATAGGGAATTGGAATAGGTTACGCGTATTATACTTTTTATTAGATCAAGGACCATTCCTGATTGACCACTGCCTGATGAAATGATATGTATAAAGACTGGGAGTTCTTTTAGAAGATGCTACAGAAGCTGTACGGATGCTCAAGAGAGAGACCAGTCACTTTATGGCTTGCCTTGAGCAGAACTAGGCTCTAATATCGAGCAGATCTCCAGTAAATTATTTATGACCATGGAAGTATTTTTCGGACGATCTTCTATTGAATTGTGTGACCTGTTGGGTTTTTCTTCAAATGAAGGAATCTACAGTTTAATTTAAGCCGCCATTGAACGGCTGATGGATTTTTTATTTCACATAATTTACTTCTGCTAAGGAATAAACCTATGACCTTTTGTATGACAGCAAGCACTGCTAACTTAATAAAATTTTTAATCGTGGTACCACAATAGCCTGCTCAAGTCTAAGTGCATTGATGCTCTACGATGATAAGATGGCTTAACCTAGGTAGAACTCAGTTCTTCCTATTGCTTCGTATAGACGAAGACTTAGCTGCTCTTCAGCTTAAGCGGAGACCACTTTGATTTAAGCTGGGAGTTAATTGCTTGCCTTTAATGAATTTGTTTAACGGTAATAAAAATAGATATATTTGTGGTGTTATTACCAATCTATGCGTAAAAAACCTATTGACATTAAATTTGCTTACATAAATAACGGATGGATTATGAAGAATTGCGTTGTAAAATTGTTATACAATAAATAATTGCGGATAAATACTTTTCGATTATTTTGTCTTCATCGAAATGGCTCAATAGTCGGATTAATAATAGAAGACCATGTCATTCAGATAGATGCCGCGGCTGGCCTTGCAGTAGCTCAATCTGCAGACCCAGTTTTGCCGCTGAATTCGCCGTTTCGGCTACTTATGCTACTTTCGGGCAGCGTCCTTTTGAAATCAAAGAACTTCTACATCGCCATCCCCCAATTCGGTCACAAAACAGTTATTAATCATGGATCTATAGCTTGAAGGAATCTTTTTCTGAGTGCATATCACGCGTTGTGGGACTGTCTCGTGATCTCCAAGATCGTTCTATTTAACGACGTCCGTTATATCGAGTCGCTTGTCTGCGCAGAAAAACCCGAAACGATTAACGCCCGTTGAAAGAGAATATTCGGTGTCGTGTTGATCCTCAAGGTTATTCAAGCACAATTCGGGTTACAGTGTTGTCCACTGAACAAGCGACGTGTCTGAGCGAAGGCCGAGAGTTTTTCGAGTTGTCGTCAAAGAATCACTATTTTGAATTAAAGTTTTTATAATTTTCTTAATTTCTTCAAGCATAAACTCAACGATTTCGTAAAGCGCAAGTCCTGTGCCGAATACTCGTTACATTGGGAATGCCATTGAAGACGCCAAAGCTTAAATGAGGCGTACTTCAACAGCAAACTTTATTTGTGGTTGCATTTTGAATTCAAGTGTTTTGATATTCATTCGTTTAAGAAAGCTTTTCAAAGCCTAGAGGGTTAGTCTGGGGTGTGTTGTGTGTTGAAATGGAAAAAAGCGTTCAATCAAGCTAATCTTTTGTTATTCGAAAACAAATTTTCTTCAAAACATTTGTTATATTTTGATGTTTTTTGAGCTATTAATACAGTCTTTAATAAAAGCGTGTGAGTGCATATACTTACAAACATGCATCTATGTATGTACACCAATTTGAAAAATATGTTAATATATATTAATACACATATGTATGTATATACGTACATAAATGCTTTTAGCCACTTAAAAGTCGCATACACGCATATAAAAAAACAAAAGTATACATAACTACACGTATGTGCATATGCATGTATGCACATATATGTGTACACGGAATGCTTTTTATTTTATTTATTTATTTATTTATGCGAGTCTAGTGATAGTATAAAGCTGACTGCTGGGCTGCTTCATTTTTTGCTTCGCTAAAGTTAAGCACAGAAATAAAGCAAGCTGAAGCTTCCTATAAAAGCCGCGCATGCGCTTAGCATCCCGTTCAATTTGCGTTGATAACTCGCTGGCGTGAGAACAGTGGCGTTGACTACGCGATTATCGGACGAATCGTTTTAAAAATTACGAAATAACAACAGCTTTGTGCTAAAAAGCTGCCATCGGACTACAATCAATTGCAAAACAAATACATAATTTATTAAATTATAAAAAAAAACTTTCAAAAAATCCAATAGAAATAATTAAATTTTGAAACGTAATATATTCGTGTGATTAAAAAAAGTTGTTAAAGCAAATCATTAACGATTAAATAAATCAAATAATAAAACAAGTAAAAAAAATGTCTGCACGCATGCGCAACACGTTACATAGTGACTTTGGCTTCAAGTTAACATTATTGCCGCCAGTTTGGCTGTTGCTGTGTGTACAGCTCGCTGTGCAATTGGCTAATGCAGTAGCTGCCAAAGATTTGCGTAAGTTTATTTTAGTCTGCCTTTTGCCACTGTTTTTCTTGTTGTTCAAATGATAAGTTTCGTAACTTACGAGCATTACAAGTTCCATAAAATAAATCATAATAAAACGAGGTATGGAGATGTCTTAATTCGAGTGAAATCAACTTGAATATCAGTTTTTTGGTGAGTGGAAGCATACTCGTAGCAAGAGTCAAGTGGTAAGAATGTGTAGATTGATTGCTGAGAATTAACGGAGGCATATCAAACAAAAAAAGAAGGAAACTAAAGCTCAAATAATTTTTACCAGATTAATTAAACTACTCAAATAGTTCACTTCTGAAAGCTTATCCGTAAGTGAAACTAAGAACTGGAGCCGGATTTCTTTACCGACGTATTCCATCGTGTCAGATCAGAAAAAATAATTTTCTATTACTTTGGATGTTCGTTGAACCATGACTTGAACCCGGGACTTTAGAATTTTAGTACATAATGCTAAAAACTCGCTTACTGCAGCGGGCAATAGATTTTTTATAAGAATTGGAAATGGTCGTAAACGACAAATTGTGTCGAGATCTACTGTCGAAGCGATGGTCTTTAGTCCCAAACAATTCTTAGATTCGACACTCTTAGATTTCTAAAATCCTCACTTTTTCTAACTATTAAATTGAATCCGAAGACCAGTTTGCTGACATCCGTGAATATCGAGAAGAAAAAGAATTAGTACTAGATCTCTATATATTTTATATAATGATTTTTTTACACACGATTTCATCTGAATGACATTTGAAAATTGTTCTAATAAGACATCAAGCAGATCGAACTGTAATTTAAAGTTTTTCCAATGGACTGGTTCACTTCCCGGAAATATTGTCAAAGAGAGACAAATAAATGTCTATCTATGCTTCAAATATTCAGAAAATTGCCAAACTCCCATCTTCTCTGAAAGATCAGTCCCAAGTGCACTTCCCCAATGTGCTGTAAGAACTGTCCTTTATAATTTGAACCGTTCTAAAATGTATGGAACGAGACTTAATTGCGAACCTATAGTCGAATGCCTTCATTTTGGATGGTGTAACTTTCTCATACTATACCCCCCAGGATTATATTATATTTTAACCAAGTCTACTAAATATCGATGCCTCTCGCAATGAAGAGATTTATTAAATCTAAAGACCTTTGGTAATGACATCGGTCTTTGATGTCAAACTTAATCCATAGTTGGCTGAAAGTGCCTAATTTCTGTTGTAGCGGGTGGATTGATTTCATGTTGTTAATGTTTTTAGACCGAGTTTCCACCAGATCTTTTGTGAAGCAGGGTTTATTATGGGAGCTGTTTCCTTTGGCAGGTACCATTTGCATCTTCTTTGTACAGCCGTCATAGTCACACACTATTTGTTGTCTTCCCGAGTATGAATATTGTCCTCAGACTGGCCGTTCCTCACTTTGTTCAGAGACTCTTTCTCCTATTTCGTCTGTTGCTCACTCTTAGCTGAAAGTGTACTTTGGTTGGCACTCAGATCAGCTCTCGAGGTGGAGGGTGATAACATAGCGTGCTATGTTTTGATACATTGGAAAGAGATTTCTATCGTCGGACTGGAAGCGAGAAGGTACGTTTGCGACGTGTCGAGTTTTTGTTAAGGAAAGTCAACTATTTGCTCGGAAGTGCTACGTACGTGGACGATTTTTTATTTATATTTTTACTCGGATCACCTTTTAACACCCATTCAGACGGATGCTGTTTACTTTCGAGCTCATACGCGTAAATCTACGATTTATCACCTGTCAGGATGTCACAGACGTGGAAGCATTCATATCGAATTTATTTTAAAATTACTCCCGACCAAGCGACACGAGTTATTTTTGAGTGATCGACAAATCGTGTGAGATCCAAAGTGAGCATTTTTTTCTTTTACAGTCAAATGATAATATTTACAACAACTGATGTATGTGGGTGCCACATCACGATCTTGCAATATCAATGTCAAACTTTACGATAAAGTTGGCAGTTATCAGTTGCAACACTACGGTTTTCAAGTCCCGAAATATATAAAGCATCCCTCGTATAAGCCATATTAAGGCGATATCTGTACTTTTTTTGCAACCTGATTTTAAAGCTTAAAGGTGCTTTGAGAGGTAGGAATTTTCACGCAATTTCACACATTTGCTGTCAAAAAATATCAATATCGACCTGTACCATTCTGAAATTATTTTCTGCAAAATAATTTCTTATAATTGCAGGAGTAAAGATTTCACTCATTTATCTGCAAATTTTTTGGAAATTGTTGTCAAAGGCTTGAGCTTTAAACCTTATGGGAAAAAAGCAGCAATACTGAAATTAAGCTCTACATAACCTTACATTATATAAATTAACTGAGAACCTTTACGTCAGAACTTTCAATGACCTTCAATTGAGTAGTGAATTGTTGTCAAATTCTGTACTCTAACAATTATCGTACATTTTATCATCCATCCATCACTTATTGTACATTACATCCATATTTAAATATGTATCTACAAAAAAGGGCGATCCGAAGTGCATAAATATTTATACTTTATTGTTGGCCATTAAACTTGGTTTTTGTTGTTCACACTGCCTTTTATTGCACAATATCATTCATCCTTCAATTCGAATTTACCGCATCTGCATAAATTTCATTCGTAACCACCAAAAAAAAAAAAAAATTATTTGCACACATTTTGGCATGCAAATTGTTTTTTATTATTATTGTAGGTCCAAAAATGTTAGAGAAAAAAGTAGAAATAATGCAATTACCAATGCAATGATTACCTTTGCTGGGGCTTTTAATGAGTATTTAAATTCCTGTGCAATTGTGAATCAATTAATTTGTCACCACATTGGTGCAGCGTTAGATGATTTTCAACGTGATCTTGACATAAAATACGGCAAATTCTTGGTTATTGTGGGAGGAATTTAATAATTATAATTTTGTTTATGTCTTATTAGAAAAACTGCGGATTTTTTTAAAATTTTTGTCCAATTTTTACTCTATGTGGTTTGGCAAAGAACGATAGAAACCCTCATTAAGCATCATCTAATTGAAAACAAAAAGTTTGTTATTTTATTACTGATCTATCTACTTGCTTAAATGTGTGCGTTGAAGCTAAACACGTCATTCGGATCTATGGTTATTTACACCCAAGCTGAACGATAAGCATTGCTTGTAACCCGAACAGCATAGATCATATCCGAATCATACTAAATTTGGTCAATCTGTCGGTGATCGGTTTCCCGTAATGAAAGTATTGTTTATCTTTCGAGCAAATCGTACCATGGAATTGTTACTGTAAACCTTTTTAGTTACTATAAAAAGAAACTGAAAATTTTTCGGTAAGCATGTATGTATGGATGTATTACTTGGGCGGCCGCGATAGCCGAGTGGTTAGCATTTAAAGAAAATTAATTTAAATACAAAATTAAGCTAAATTTTCTGATTGCAATCGCCCCTCGGCAGGGAATGTCAACCCCTCCGAATGTATTTTTGACATCAAATAAAGTTCCTCATAAAAAAACCATCATCCTATGCAGAGTCGGCTTAGTATAAACTGTAGGTTCTACATTTGTTTGAAAAACATCAAGACGCAAAACCAAAAGTTGGAAGGGGAGCTCGGCGGTAAATCGTTTCAGCGGTCACAAAGGGCCAATTCTATATATTATTTTTATCTAATCTCCTCCTTGATGTTTTTATTCCAAGCTGCTTCCGAAGGGCCGATGGGTTTTTGTAAAGAGACTGCAATTAGGAAAATTAATTTTCTATAATTTTTAAGTGTTGGTCGGAACAGGACTTGGACTCTGGCCTTCCTGGCAACTTCAGCATTGGGCGTAGCACTAAACTACTGTGGGGAAGCTTAGATTACAGACTGGCCAAAGGCGAAAGAGCACTTAGCATTCTCGTTGGAGTACTGACAAGGTTTCTATTCCTAAGATACTGTCAGCCGATTCAGACGTAAAATCTGGTCCGAGCTCCAGCCTTATGAAGATGGGTGCGCATGGGTAGGAGAAACTGAAACAATTTATTAAATCGAGCAAACTGTTCGCAAAAACATAATTGGGATAAGCAGTAGAGCGAAATAAGCCTAGCCAATGGCTTAGGCCCTTAGCCGACTCAGGCCCTAACCTCTAAACTATCTTAGTTACTTCGTGATTTTTGTTGGAGAAATAAATTTGAAAAAAATTCATTTAGGGATCGGCAGTGTAATGGTTGGATAGAGGCAAATAAAGTCGACGAACAAAGATCTAGTTCACTTTATGCCAGCGTAGATGATGACTACATCGGAAAAGTAGGCATTTAGGGTTTCCAAGAGAAAGGGGAAGACCTGTGAGAGATTTATATACCTTTCCGTACTAGCGATGGCGTGTATCGCAAACGAAGGAACGATGAGCAGTATGACATATTCAGCGACAGTGGCACAGGCAATGTCAGCTAGATCATAGCAAGCGTATGGATTAGACTTTAGCAGACAGAAGCAGAGAAAGTCCCCTATACCGTTGAAAAAATTTGTTGGACGATCAACTGGTGACTCCAATTGGCGCCGAACTGGTAAAAAACGATTGGCCGACTCTTGTTGACTTGGCTGTGATCGCATAGCCGGTGGCTAAGGAACGAATATGTAATTTTATTTTTTGAATCCATCATTCAATTTTTGCTCTGATAACCAGTCAGAGAGTATTTCAGGTTTTCATTTTCCTTTTTAACATTAAATATAATAACTTCCCTTTTGGAGCTGTAATTTGTGTTAGTGGAAATCAGTCAATGCAACCAAGAAGTGCAACTATGAGTATGTATTGTCAGAAACAAAAAAAAATATATTTACATTATTATGTCATTTAGTGAGCATTTTCGGTCACTGAACAGTTGGTTGGTTAGTAGAATACAAAAGCGTAAACAAACTAACAAGGTTATTCCACTTTTAGCAAAATTAAAGTAAGCAAACTGCATATATTCATGTGCACGTACACATACACACACACACATAGTAAACAAATGTATCTTATCAGACCC